CTTGGCGGCACATGTGCACTGCAATACAACTGACTGGCTACTTGTAGAGCTGACGTGAGACAGTTTCAATGTCCTCTCCCTTCAGAGAGCAGTGACTGTCAGTCACCGCTCCCCACAGGGGTTCCCCCCTCCCCTCTCCGATCCTCCAGCGCTATCCTCTAGATCAGAGGTTCTCAACCTGTGTAACCTCAGGACCCACATGTGTCCTTGGTCATTAAGTCGTGACCCAAGTCGCACTGCAGTGGAATGTACGGCATTAAGGTACCACACGTTCTGGAACTGTAGGTGGGAAGTGCGTTTGGGGTTACATTTAAATGAGTGGTAACGAACACATCTCCCGCACCTGATTGCGTGGTAGAGTTGAACCCACTGTAAATGGGCCCTCAATAAACACTGACGTACATACACAATCTCACACACTCACAGACATTCTCACACACATACACACGCCACAATTTTTTTTTAAGATCCAGCCATTCTCCCTACCTTACGAGAACTGGAGTGGATCCTCAACCTGGGGTCCAATGTGGAGTGCTGTGCTGTGATGGAGTGCCATCCATATGAGCATTGCTTGTACAGCTCCCTTGTGTGCCTTGTAGAGGTGACGGGAGCCAGAATGTGACATCACTCTGGTCCAGGTAGCTCTATGGAGCACGTGAGGGAGCTGTAAGCAATACACGTATGTGGATGGAGCTCCTCTGCGACCATAGCTCCAGCCCACCCCACGTCAAGCTGACAATCTGCACCGGGCAGCATATTTTGAATGGCTGCTCGGCGTGAGAACTGACAGTGCTGCGCTAGGGGGAGGCAGAGGAGCCTCTCACCTAGAAAAATAGAAGGCATGCGGTGACCCACTAAACATGGGGTTGCAACCCACTTTTTTGTCACGACCCACCAGTTGAGAACCAAGGCTCTAGATAATGTCAATCAGCCAGCCGGGTGGATCTCAACATTATTGTCGGGATCCATCCCGTCTCCAGCGCACTCAGCCTACATCGTGTAATAGCCCGCTATATACTGAGTTTTGGGTCATGGTAGGACGTTAGTATATGTCTTGCTGTGACCCTAAAGAGAACTATGAGGAAAAAAGGTTAACCCATAGTTTTCCTTTACAGCTAGAGGAAAATTAGATGAATGAGTTAAAATGTACTGACTGAAATGCTTTGTAATTTCCTTAGAAATTAACGAACTTTGAAGCAAACACATGCTTTGCCCATATAAATAACAACAACTGAGTCTATGTAATAAGTATATACAATACTGTATTATTAATACGATTAGTTATCAGTACATACAAATAAAAATAAATATTACAATTGCCTGTGTATATACAGTACATTAAATAATCCAACCGAAGGAAATACTCATTACTGAAAATAATTTTACTTACAAAGATTGATGCAGAGGACGAGTTTGCACTTCTTTCAGTAATTACATAAATAATTATATAGGCAATTACGTAAATACATCTTAATAATTATGCTATATACATTATACAATAAAAATGCGTATATTTGTGAAATACCTGTGTTCTGTTACCAGTATATGGAGCATTAGCATTAGAGTGCAGGCTGTGCATTCACCGGAAGCTAGTGACATGACACAGGCACTGCACGAGGCACGCATTCAAATAAAAATTCACAACCTTAGGGGGAGGGCTTATTCACTAAGGCAGTTGTGTTTATCATCAGTCCTCCAGGCCCACAGTGCATTTTACTGATATATTTTTTATTGACATGCCCTTTTGCTTGTGTGTAAGGGGACTAAATTTCCATGCAATAAACACTATTTAGCAATGTTACAAAGGGCAATTAGTTCTGCACAGAACTGATCCATGTCAGAAAAGCACACACAGCTTTTATACAGTAGGTTACCTTATTGTGTACCTAAACATGCACTGTCAGTGGGCGTTTTGTGTGCCTTGAAGATTGGGGTTAAGCACTTTGCACTCCAGCCATAATGGCTTTTAACAAAGTGCAATAACCTATAGCAACCAATCAGAAATAATGTAACCTCCCTTTAAACTGAGATCCAATTTGTTGATATAGTTTACACACTTCCACATAGTTCTTTGCACTTTGTTCAAAAAGTGTAAAGTATAATAATAAGGGAATGAAAGTATGCCTTTAATGAAAGACACATGGAGGCTGCAATAGCAGACAGCTCAGCGTAACAGCAAGGCCACTGGCATTTTCACCAAAAAAAGAGCCAACATTGGTAACCCCAATATTCCTCCAATTACTGGTTTGCTTTAATTCCATAATTTCCATGGTATCCGAGGTAAAAAATAATATATGCCCTTGTATGTACAGGGTTGACATACATGAGCTCAGCTTGTTTTTCAGATTTTATTCCAATTTTAAGTTATATATTCATTTGTCAAGGATTGGTTGTGGTGGAGAGGGAAGGGCAACACCAATTTACCTTATGCAGTACATGCTGCTAAATATTGTTATTTGTTTTCTCTGTTCTATGTTAGTGAGGGGTAGATTTTAGCAAGGTCACACCTACATACATTTACATGTTTACGCCTAGAAATGATAGACACAAAGTTTCATAAAATATATAATTACTTACAACATAGCATGTTTATGGTTGCCTCCTTGCACTGCCTGGGGAGGCCCTACAGAGTCCTTCAGCGGATACCTGTATTTGTAATGGCTGCCAGCAATTGTATTAAGACAGTCCAGAGTAAAATAGATCAGCAAGACACTGAGGGGGGAATTTATCAAAACTGGTGCAGACAAAATATGGAGCAGCAGTGCATGGCAAGCACAGCTTCTCTGTTCAGTTTGTTTAGTTAAGATCTGAAAATGAAAGAGAGAAGTTGATTGGTTGCCATGCACAGCTGCTCCAGATTTTGTCTGCTCCAGTTTTGATAAATTCCCTTCTGAATGTTTTAATAAAAGTGTCTGGGCCTGCTGGTATTGTTTTAGGCTTCGGGTTGGGATGGGAAGCTCTGTACATGCCCCAAGTCCTCTAAAAAATGTTTTGATTATAAACATGTAGCTCTATAAAAACAAAGGCATTTATGAACACCTTTCAGCCCAAAATACCTGAATCATAGAGATTGGTGATAAGTATTGAGCTGCTTGTGGATGGTGTCTTATGGTAGCCATATACTGTACCTGTAGCTATTTATTTTTATTCAGCCTCGAGGGAAGAGCAAAAAAAAAAATCTTGACTCCATCCAAGCTAATAGCTGGTCTATTGTATTCTGCATTCTATTGTATTCAGTATTTTGTCAAACGAGAGGGTCCCAATGGGGCAACACACTGGTGAATTTCAACCGAGTCAGCAGCACTCAACCGAAAACATATAGGTCCACCGACCTATAATAATTCAGCAAAGCTGAATTATTTACCTATCCTGAAGAATCTATTACTATGGGCAGCATTTTCTGATCTCATTTGAAGGGGCTTGAGGGCCATCTCAGTCTGAACATCACTCTTTTATGCTCCTTCAGCTGAGATTACATAATCAAATGCCAGCATCTGTTCAGCATTTGGTCGTATTAGGAGCCACCATGGAGCCTGGTGTAGCAGTTTTTATAGGATAGGTAAATTGAATGTTTCTATTACTTTGTGTACTTGTCTCGGAAAAACTATAAAGACTAAATGAACCTAGCTTTGACTATAGCCAAATTTATTTTCTTTTGTAATGTTACGTTTGCTGTATTTTAATGGACAGTGAATCTCAAAATTTTTTGTTGTTGCTGTGTCCTTACTAAAGAGTAAACAATGATGTGAAAGCATCTGCAAGAAAACCAATATCGAGACAGCTGGCATTTGGCTTAAACAGAATGTGTTAGTTCTTCTAGTTGGGAAAATTGCTAATAGCATGCTTAGGGTGCATGAGTTGTATACTAAGTCGATTAAATAGTTTGTGCCCTCCTTGGCCTCACGCCATATACATTGTAGAGATGCTAACTGAGCATATAGCAATAGGCATCACTGAGAAGCTGTGTCCTTCCCTGCAGTCCACACTTTTTAGACTTCATTTTATATCTGTTTCTTTATATATTATCTATACAATCCTTGAATTATAAATATTATAAATTATATATATTCAAAGTACAGTGGGATAGCAACTTAGACAACACAGAAGTTGCTGCCTGTCTTTTCGCTCACTTTGATTGAAACTTTGGACTAAGCCATCCAATAAGAGATGAGTCATTATTGATGAGTGAAAAGCTTCTGTACGTAATTAACAAGTTTTACAGCAAAGTGAGAGCCTAAGTAAATGTGAAAAGGATCCTTAAGTACCACCTGTTGACTTAAAAGCAGAAAGAAAATCTTTAATGTGCAATATTCTATATTTATCCGAC